CTCTTGCTTCAAAAATAGCTACCCCCAAATTTATGGAATTAAAACAACCATGTTATTCTGCTCACAGTTTTGTATGTTAGATTTTGAGAAACCTCAGCTGTGTAGATTTCATTTGGGGTCTCTCCTGCTGTTGCAGTCAGACCTTGGCAGGACTGCAGTAATCTGAAATCTTGACTGGACTGGTGTCAAAGACTGGACTGGTGTCACACTCTTTGGCTAGAATTTAACGTGTTCAGCTGGTAGTGCTGCTGGGGTTCAACTGGAATGCCTAAGCATAATAATTGCAAGGGTAGCTGACTTCTTACATGGTGGCTGGATTCCCCCAGAGTGAGTGTTCCAAGAGAACCAAGCAGATGTGGTATGGCCTTTTTCATCATGAAGTGGTATGGTCTTGACAGCAGTGCAGCATCATCTCTACTGGTTAGATGCAAGTCACTGAGGTTAGCCCAGATTCAAGGTGAGAGGACAGACTCTACCTCTTGATGGAAACAATGTCAAATAATTTGTAGGAATGTTTTCAGACTTCCACAGTGACCAATATGACAATACCAGAAGTTAACATTGAGCTCCTTATACAGTCCTTTAAAGTCCCCAAATGACTAGCCAGCCACCTGGCAGCAGTGGAACACTTCTATCATGGAAGGGGCTGAGCCTTGTTCTCACTGCAAGATACACTTATTCTGAATATGAATCTGCCTTCCTTTCCTACAGTGCTTCTACTAAAATCACTATCTGTGAATTTACATAATGAATGCCATATTCACTGTCATAGTATTTCATGGAATGTCGCTTCTGACCAGGAAACTCAATTTACAGTAAATAAAGTATGCCAATGGAATGATGTTATGAAATTCAGTGGACTTAGCATATTCTTCAGCATCCTGGAGAAGCTGACTTGATAGAACAATAAAGTGGCCTTTGGAAAACTCAACTACAGTGCTAGTGGGGTGATAATACTTTGTGCTGGTGAGGTGATGTTCCCTAGGATAAAGTTATGCTCTGAATTCCCATTCAGTACGTGATGCTGTCCCTCCCATAGCCGAGATGCATGGATCTGGAACCAAGGGATTGAAACGGAAGTGACTAATAATTAACTAGCCAGTTTTACTCCCTGTTTCTGCAACTTTAGGCTCTACTGGCTTAGAGACATTAGTTCCAAAGGAAAGCGTGCTTCCATCTGAGAACACAACATGCTGCCTTCTAACTGGGAGTTAACACCAATCTGGCCGCTTTGGAATCCCTGTGCCAATAAAACAACTAAGAAGGAAATTAGTTTACTGGCTGTCTGATGTGACTACCACAGAAAAATGGGATGGCTACTACTCACGGGGAGTGGGGGGAGAACAGGGAAAAATATAACTAAAATGCAGATGCTACTTGGGGCATCTCTTAGTACCTCCAATATCTGTGGTAACAGTAAATGGAAAAGTACATAACCCAATAGAGGCAGGACTGTGAGTGGCATAAAATTTGCAGAAATGAAGGCTGGTTGTTCCACCAGGCCAGGAACTAATCACCAGCTGAGGTGCTTGCTGAGGGAAAGGTAATGTGAAATCGGGGGTGGGAGAAAGACACTATAAATACAGTACAGCCATCAGCTACAACCACGGGACCAGCTGCAGAAACAAGAACCATACTAGCGATGGTATTTCCTCCTTGCTTTCATGTGAATATATATGTGTATATACATATCCATATATAAAAATCTATCTCTATATAAATTTTATCCATACATTTAAATACCTTTACTTTGTCTTCCTGTTCCCATTCTAACATGTGTTAATAGTGTTTAACTTTAATTCATAGGATATCAAAAGAAGAGTGTGACTCCTTTAGAAAAGAGATAAAACCATCACCCAAGGATGGAAAAGGTCACATATGGGACTTTGTTTATCTTTTTGGGGGAGAAGGACAGTGTTTTAGTCAGCTTGAGTTGCCATCAAAAACTGCCATAGACTGGACAGCTTAAACAAAAGTTTATTTCCTTCAGATCTGGAGGCCAGAAGTCCAACATCAAGGTGCCAGATGCTTAGGTTCCTGATGAAGACTCTCTTCCCGACTTCTTGCTCTGTCCTCAGATGGCTGAGAGAGCAAGAGAGCTCTGGTGTCTCTTCCTCTTCTTATAAAAGCACCAATCCCATAAGGGGCCCACCCTTCTGAGCTCATCTAAACCTAATCACCTCCCAAAGGCCCCACCTCCAAATACCATTACATTGGGGGTTAGAGCTTCAACACATGAATTTTGGGGAGATGCAAACATTCAGTCCATAATAGATAGCATGCTTCTGGTTGTTTAAGGGATAGTTGCATTAGTTTAGTCAGAAGGATAATTTGGATTTGTCTTTATGTGGACATTAAATATAGTCCCATCAATGTAAATGGTTGCCAAGCTGATACGGGTTGGGCTCTGTTGGACTGTGAGATGTGGACTTGGATAAGACTATGGGACCTACATTTTCCAGAATCCCCTTCCCTGGTTCATGTGAAGAGTTGACCAAAAGAGGAAGCTGCATGAAGTTTGGGAAGTGGAATTAAAGCAGAAGGTGTTATCCTTGGACAGTCGTCACCATCAGACACAGGACAGAGGCAGAGGTACCCAGCAGGCCCCAGCCTGCCCACGGTCTTCTCCACTCTGTGCCCATCCATCTTTCTTACTGCAGGCCTGCTGACAAAGGCTGCCCCAAGACCACCTACAAGGAGCTTGGCAATGGACCAAACGGGCAGCAGCTGAACAGAGGCAGCACTTCAGGAGAGTGGTGTGCAAGCTCTGCTCGTCCACCTGCACCTGTCGTCTTCCTCCAATTCTCCCCTCTCCTTCTAGAACTTCACATTCCAGCTCCTCCCACACTAGTGTCAAATTACATTCCTATAATCAGTCTCTTATCTTTATCTATAGTGGCTCAATTTCCCAACTGAACACTGACTGATACCTTTTGGTCCTCTGCTAAAACATGAGCAGAGCCTTCTCTTGGAAGTTTCTGGTAGAGAGAGGTCCTATCCAAAAACGCTCCCCATCACCACTGAGCTGCTCATGCTGCCTGACTCCCTCACAGCTCTCATCCCACCTTACATAGTCTACATTTACACATGTGGCTGCTTTGCTGCAACTGAATCCCTGATGAACAGAGCAGTTGCCAGCACTCAATAGCTGCTCAGTATTTGTCAAATGAATATTTGGGAAAGCCTGATTTAAATGCTTCATACAGCTGATTCTGAAACAGACTTTTTCTTTCCCCCTTTTTTGTGACCAGTAAGGGGATCGCAACCCTTGGCTTGGTGTCGCCCGCACCACGCT